ATCTCGAAACAATACTTATAAACTAAAAATGAAATAGGTTTTATGCAACCTGATCATCCTTCATAGAGGCTTTGCAAAACTGCGTAAAAGTGGGAAATAAATCGTGAGGGCCACAAAAGTGAGAAACGGTAGACCTTCCGAACCTGGCCACCATTAGAACTTCTTCTTTTGTTGAGCTTACTTCCATTTCGAGTAGAAGTTTTGGTTGAAGAGATTCGAAGGTCGGTTCCACCAGAAGACGACGGCGGATTCCTCTTGACCAGCTGTCGATTGGCTTTACTGGAAGATTCATGCTGACGCGGTTTTCGAGGCAATCTCCCTCGATTCCGGTGAAAAGGTGCTAAGCTTTCGTCCGTCATATGACGGACATCGGGCAGATTCATGCTGACGCTGTTTCCGAGGTAATCTTCTTCGATTCCGGTGCAAACTTGCTTAGTTTCGTGCGTCGGAGGTCGGTTCCACCAGAAGACGACGGCGGATTCCTCTTGACCAGCTGTCGATTGGCTTTACTGGAAGATTTGTGCTGACGCTGTTTCTGAGGCAATCTCCTTCGATTCTGGTGAAAACGTGCTAAGCTTTCGTCCGTCATCCGGTGACGCTATTTCCGAGATAATCTCCTTCGATTCAGGTGAAAAGGTGCTAAGCTTTCGTCCATCATATGGCGAAAATCATCAGAGCAAGGCGGTTCCACCAGAAGACGACGGCGGATTCCTCTTGACCAGCTGTCGATTGGCTTTACTGGAAGATTCATGTGGGTGAAGAGATTCGAAGTTCGATTCCACCAGAAGACGACGGCGGATTCCTCTTGACCAGCTGTCGATTGGCTTTACTGGAAGATTCATGCGCTGTTTCCGAAGCAATCGGAATCCGCCGTCGTCTTCTGGTGGAACTGACCTTCGAATCTCTTCACCCAACACTTCCACTCGAAATGGAAGGCTTAGGTTGATCGTTATCATTGAAGGTCTTATCCACATGAACATCCGAGGTTGGGGAACTTAACGTTATCTCGTGATGAGCTAGACCAGGAGAAATTCTCATCTCATCCCTTTGCACAAGCTGAAAGTAAATTAAACAATAATTGAGGGCTGTCAAGCATGCCAA